TGCCTCAAATCATTGGTATACCTTGTGCTTAGTTTGATAATGATTTTTTTAAGCGATGTAATGAAATGATCATATGCAAGAAAATAAATGCTCATTTTATTAAAGGGGAAAAGAAAAAAACTACAAAGTATTTCTAAGGAAAAAAAAAGGTGCTTATTCTAGACTTATTGGGGAAAGGAAGAATGAAAAAGAAATAGAAAAATAGGTCATGAAATCTTGTTGTCGAAGCTCGCCTTGTGTCTTGTGCTCTTCATCACCCGGTCTTCTTCCTAGATAGAGGCAATGGGATCTTGTTTGCTTCTATGAGATTTTAAAATCTATAGCATTCATCAGTGGTATGACCATTTCCTTGATGGTACTTGCAATAAGAATTGGGGTCCCATCTTGAAGATCGTTGTTCTGGTGTTGGATCCTCGGTAGGGCCAATAGGTTTGATTAATCCTCGATCATAGAGACGATCAAAAGCAACATCATAGGTCATTCCAATGGGAGTGAACTCTCTTTTGGGTTTCTTTTTAGATCCTTGATTATCAATGGCTAAGACTTCATTGTGGTCAAAGGTACTAACATTGTTACTAGGGTGGGCATTTTCAGAAGAAGGATTGTCGGTCTTCTTGGCTTTCCAGCCATTGTGGTTACTATTGTTAGTAGCTTTTTGCTTTGCGAGGTCATCTTTGTTTCAATACCGATGTCATAGACGGCCTTGAAAGTATTCAAATTATGTTGATATTTTAAATGCTTTGAATACTACTCTTGGAGATTCTTAATAAACATCCTTACAGATTCTTTTTCGGTGGGCACCTCAATCATCATAGCGGAAGTTTCCTTCCACTTATTAAAGAAAGAAGTAAAGCCTTCATTCTCTTTTTGTCTTAGCATCTCAAGTTTTCTACAGTTGGTTTCGAATTGAATATTACACTTATCTTTGTCAATGAAACGTTATTTATTCCATCCCAAGTATAGGTTTTCTCTTTATCAAGAGAAAAAAACCAATGTTGAGAAACAGTTTCTAGAGATAAAGAGAACAAGGAATGAAAGACTTTCCTATCAATCCCCTTAATGTTCATTATGGTCTCTAATGTCCTTAAGTGGAAGTAAGGATTATCTGTTGGCTGGAACTTAGGGATGTCATTGACATTGAACTTCTGCGGAAGAAGCTCCTTGTCCACTGAGACCCCTTGTGAGCTAATGCCCTGGAATCTATAGTCATTGGATATTTTGCTCAAGCTTTCTTGCATGAACTCCATTTGTTGTTGTTTAACAAGGTCATTGATTTGGAAGGTTAAATCCTTCAACACCTCAGTCACGTCAGCCATTTGCTTCTTAAGCTCATTGACTTCTTCTTTACTTGCCATTATCTTCTTAGCTTTTCTCTTTCGACCGGCTGGTTTATCTAAAAGTTGAACTTGAACAAAGGTGTTGTCCTTGATTAATCGCCCTTCTCTCCTTGACCAAGTACTGTGGAAAGGGAAATTAGGGGTAAGTTTTTTATTATTTATTTTGACTCAAGCTCTATTCAACATGGAAGAAAATGTGGAAGAGAATGGGAATAGATTGGACCCCCAACTTAAATGACGGAAAACGACTCATGCATGAACCAAATACATGGTCATGGTGACATATTCAAAGTGTGTGCTAATACTAGTGAGTGTTGGTGACATGTTAAGACTCGTGTCATGACCATGTGCCTAGACTATGTGATTAGACTCAAGCAAAGGTTAAGTTAAGACTTCATATATGCAATAAACTAGACAGGTTGTGGTATTTTAGTCATAACTTTTTTTCTATGACTCTTATTGGGATGAAACCAACGCCCATTAAAGATAAAACCCATGGCTACAGATCCATAGGTTTTACGACTCTTAGTTCTTCCTATAACTCCGGCTATGACCAAAACAAGTTGACGCTTGTAGTGTATACAGGAATAAAAATACGGGTAGACTTAAAGGAACTATAACTCGATTTAAGGTATATTTTTTTAGCTCAAATTAATTAATCAATTAATTAAGCAAAGCTCTTTATTCATTGGTTAGTTTATTAAGAGTATGCACAAGTAAGAGATGCACAAGTAGTCAAGTAGTCACGATATGATGCAATGAGTTTGCAACCTAACCATAGCTCTAGTTCTCTAAAGTTCAGGGTATGGGTTAGTCAAAGAGGGTCCATGGTTATGAGTCCGGATGCACCGCACGGAAGCCTTACCTTTGGAAGGGTTGGCGCGTGTAGATGGGCCCCGCGAGTTAAACTTGCTTCCATGGTTTGGTGAATTCAACATTCTCGGATGTACCCTTTGTTGCTCAGAGCGTTCAATCAGGTAGATGGAGCATGAACTCCCATAGGGTTATGTCCATACGTAGAACACATATGGGTTTCAAAAAAGAGAGAAAAACTCAATCAGGAAGTAGAATCGAGCCAATAGTGCTAGAACTAGTCAAAACAAGAAGGCGGAGTTCTGGCTCGGTATTGGAAGAACTTGGCACTAGACAACAGAGTACGTCGCCAGAAAATGGCTCTGTCGCCAGAAGACAAAATTTTTGCCAGGCCACAAGGCCATTTTTCAGGCTACTATAGCTGTTTTCTAGACCGTAGTTCCTACATGCCTCAGCAGCTTTCTGTGTTCTTAGAATTTCCAGTTTTCGCAGTATTATTTCGATTCTAGTTGTGAAAGATATTTCTCAAATTTCCTACGTGTAAAAATCCTATGTTATTAACTCATTACGGGTGGTCTTTCCAATGAGAACCTTTTTTATGCTTATGCCAGTAATGTTAATCAAAATTACGCACATGAATTATTTAGAACTTTCGAGTCTCATCCACTTATTCTAAATCATTGCCGAAATAAATTTCAGGAATTAAAATAGAAATCCTCCCCAGTGGAGTCGCCAAAAACTATAGGGAATATTTCAAGCATTACCCCAAACTTGAACCCCACTGTGATCATACACTTAAGCATGGTGGCGTCTAAAGGGAAGAAAGCTAGAGCAAAAGAGTCGCCAACAAGTTTTAGGAACTTGTAAACCGTTCACAGGGTGAAGGTTATACCCCTTAACGATCCAGGAGATCGTCTACTCCAATAGGTCTGAAACCAAGACTAGAAGTTTGGGGATGAAGGTACAAATCCAATCTAAAAGAAAAAGAACCTGCCCTAATGATAGGCCTTTACTTTATTCTACTCGTATTCATGTGCGCTTTCTTTCTAACATGCAATCAATAGGTTTACCCTAAACTTGTCTAATCTATGTTTGTTGAATATTAATGCACAAACAAAACTATTATGGGTGATCACTTGAATTATAATCATACTAACCCTAAACAAGATTACTAATTATCTTATTAAGCATGATTACAAGTATCAAATTCCCTTTAAACATGCATAAATGGTGTGATCAAGCAATAACAATAAATATATATCAAGCAACATAATAATCATAGTAGTAATAATAATCATAACTAAAATAATCATGTTAAAACATAATAATAGCAAGATCTTAGGCATGATACTAACAAGATTAATAACAAACTCTAGCATGTCACTAAACAATATAAAAATCAAAGCTTTATCCTTACCATGATACTAACATGCTATTAGTTAAGAAATAAGAAGCATTCTTCTAATCATACATGATATTAGAAAAACATCCTAACATGATACTAGGAAAAGCATCCTAACATGATACTAGGAAGCAAAATAACAACTTAAACATGATTTCTATATCACAATATCAATTAAACAATTAAAGCACTTACTTGGATGTCTCTTACCTTTTTCTAATAACAAAATACACATGTTATTAACTTCAAGGAAAATATTAAAATCAAACATTAAATTAAATAATTGAAAGAAAGATTTGGGACCAAACCCTCAAAAATATTGAACCTTTCACGTCTAGGGCGAAGGCAACTTCGAACTTGGCTAGGTGTGTCTAGTGCAAATGTGTGAGGAATTGTGTTTGTAAAAGGCTAGGCTAGAAAAAGAGAAAGAGAGAGAGAGAATAAGCTTTAGCTTAGAGACAGAGAAGAATTAGAGAATTCTGGTTATTGAAAAACGGAGGTCCAGAGACCCCATTTACAATAAAATAGTCCGGAATCGATAGAAAGAATCAGAGTTCGAAAAGGAATAGAACACGCCTTCGTCGCCAACGACAGGACCTGTCGCCAGGCGACAAGATTTGTCGCTAGGCGACAAAACCTATCGTTTGGCGATGCATAAGGTTTTCCATGCGTTTTCAACGCGGAATTCACTTTTGATAAAATCAATTCGTAAAGTCCGTAGGAAGGGTAAAATCATAATTTCATTTAAAACACTTCTTTTATTCCAAATAAAACTCATAAAACATAATTATCAATTCTAATCCCATTAGGATTCAAAAGAACCTTCTACAGCTTTCTAGAAGACTATAATCAATCCTAATTACATTTGGAATGATAATTCATAATAGGCCCTCCTCTAGATCATTGGGTCGCGTATAAGAACCAAATCGAGCCCAGTTTAGTATTTTGGTCATAACTTCCTCATTATTCATTGGAATTGGGCTTATAATATATTGTTAGAAAGCTCTTTTCGAGCCCTATCCAACTACACTATTATTGGACCCTTATCATGTACCAAATTAAACAAGAATGCACGTTTTTCATTAATAGGGTAAGAAAATAAATATTTTAAAAAAAACAGATTGAAGAGATATTTTAATAAAAACATCCTCATCACTAGACTTTTCACACTTTCACCTCGTTCGATAATCCAATGACATGAAAGGTATTCATCACCGGGTTTGGTTTTGGGGAGACACATTTGGGTGTCTACAATCCCCCACCACACCTTTCTCTCCCAGACTCTCAGCAGCAGCAGCACTCCTTTCTCTCCCAGCGTCCCTATCAGTCGCATGATTATTCCCATTGCCCTCTTCTACATTCTTTTTCCCACCAACTTCAGCTTCCTCCTCTCCAGATTTCTTCTCTCTTGCATTTTTATTTTATGCATCATCTCCAGGTTTCTTCCCCCCCCCCCCCCCGGTTCAAATCTCTCCATCCCTATCTACTAGATCTTTATTCCCTAACAAACTTGCATTCTCTCCTCCACCTGCATTCTCTCCCCCTCCTGCATTCTCTCCAGCATTCTCCTTACGCAGGTCAGCTTTAGCATTTATGCTCAGAAGCACCTCATTTATGGAGGATAAATTGTCATAATCCTTCATCATAGGATTACCTTCCACAATCTTATTACCCCCTATGTCATCCCATTGAACACTTTTCTTCCGAGCTGCTGCATCTGCATCAACCTCCTTCAATGCAGCCTCTGCAACTGCTCGCAGTCCCTTCAAAGGCTGACTTCCCCTACTACTGCCACTTTTCACCCTTTTCCTGGACAATGTCTCCATGCAGCGCTCGATTGATTCCAAATGAGGAGATAAGTCTTTCACTACCTGCACAAGCTCAACCAGGATCAAAAGACATGCAAAATTGAAATATATCTATTGAGCATACCTTTCTAACAATCAGATCCTCCATTGAGCATCTAGCCAACTCCTGCGACAATCTCCTATCCTTCGCAAGGCGAGGATGCCGCTCACCGTATGTAACATCAATGCACTGTATGTACACATAAATATCAATACACAACCAACAAAAAAATACATAAATAAATACAGAATTACAGACTAAATGACAAGCTTAAGCTTACCTTCAACTTCCTATAGTCACCAGAATTCCTCTTGTCTTTTTCAATAACACCGATCACTCTCTCCTGCGTCCATACATCAATCCTCGGCATCTCACCCCATAAATTGGGAGTCAAAATCAAATGTCCAACGTAAAATAGATGTACAAACAGCGTACACCCACCACAACCAACAACAAAGCCATACCTCCCAAACTTCTGCTAAACTTTTGTCTAATATACCATCAGCCAATCATGGCTAAACTCTGCCCAATTGTATAGCTCCGCCTCATGAGCTATCGCAACGCCCAGCACCAAAGAGGTCGACAAACTACCGCCGTCGGTTGAAGGACATAATACCTGACCCAACAAAACAACAAAAAATGCAGTCCTTAAATACAACACATCATCATCATCAACTAAGGGCCCGCCTGATAACCCCTTTTCTTCCAAAACTAACTGTATCGCAACTACGGCCCGCCCAACTGAGATATGCGTCCTTCCCTGTGCATCCAAAACTCCAAAGCACTTCCCAATCAGCTTAACTATTTTGTTCATGTTTAAGTCCAGCTTTTCACAAGTCAGCGGCACAGGCTCGCGTATGTACGGTATTCCTAGCACACAATTCCACTGCATGGGACTTAAAGGCAACTCCATACCATCCCCAAATCACATCACACTGCTGACAGGATCCACCCTAATATGTAACCAGTAGCAGAACTTCCTGTCTAATCGATTCACCTTCAGGTTCAAAAGTGAACCAAACCCCATTTCTTCAACTGTCGTCTTCCTTGTAGGATCTAGTCCATCAACAACCTTGCTAAATGAATCCACGCGGAACATGAAATTCGCAGGTTGTTCATCACAATAGTAAACACAAACTGTGATACCAGCGCATTGGAACAAAAATTTCCCACTATCATAAAACAAATCAATGTCTTCAAAACACACCTTGGAACAAAAATGTGATTGGGTATCTACTACCCTCTTCTTCTCTATCACAACAACTCCAAGTGGATGATTATCATCCGCCTAAATATACACATACAAACCAACAACCTATTAAAATAACAAAATAAATGAATGAAATGCAAAAAATCATAACTTCATACTCTCTTTCAAAATATTACCACCTGCTGCGGATCCAACACCCTAGCCCTGACATCATTTATCAATTTAGCTTCCCTTGATTTTGCCTTTTGCTTCTTCAACTTGCTTGCTTCAGCCTTGCCCTTATTAATTTTCCTGTCCAAATGCTGCAACTCTTCATCCTCATCCTGCTCATCACCACCTCCATTGTCACTTTCCTGCTCTGATTCATCTTCAGTACTACCCTCATCTGAATCTTCTAATAATTCTGTCCCCCCCCCCCCCCATGCCATGTGCAAGCAACTCGTTAATGTAGGTCACTTGATAGGAAGGTTCAACCCCTTGTCCTTTGCTCTTTTTACTGCTTTTCTCAGGTATGTGCATTTTTCTTTTACCAGCAGCAACCAATTTCTGGCTTTTATCAGCAGCAACCGCTTTCTGGCTTTTATCCACTCCTTTTTCCTAAAGATCCTGTGTAATTTCCTTCATCGTGAGCTACAACAAAAAAATAGTAAGTAGGTATACATGTTAATCTCCCCAAATGTAAACACAAAAACACACACAGTTACTCGCCCCCAACTTCGCCCTACTACCAACCGCTGGACGATAAGAAGAAGCACCACCCCTTTTTCGTCCCATATTTGTCCCTCTACATATAAACATTTTTTATATTAAAACCAATAATAAAAATAGGTTTATTTCCACTCAATTTCTTAGTTTGATTCTTAGTTTTGTAATTCTAATCTCAAATGCCAACATAAGTCCACTTTGAACCAACAATCTGAATTTCAAATAAGTCCACTTTGAACCAACAATCTTTCACATCATTTGAATTTCAACTATCATCCAAGATGGACTAACTTGCACATAATCTTACCAGTATTTTACAAAATAACAAGTGCACAACTACTTAAAGATTTCAAATACCAACATAATTCGACTTTGAAACAACAATTTGCTATTCACATCATCTAAACTACTTTCAACACAATTGAACTTTCAGAAGCACAAAAAAACTAGTCTAAATAAATTTTATGGTTTTCCACACATCAATTGAACTTGGTTTCACTCATTTACTTCAACAACAAACCTGAATTACGATATTTAGGACACCACACATCCAATATTAGTGAAACAAATTTCATGGTGTTCCACACATCATAAACGCAGCTTTATTTCTCAATTGTACAACATAAATTCCATTAATGGGAAAATTGGACATAATTACTCTTAAGTCCCCTTGTATTCGCAAAAATAACTCTAAACTAAGACATCATTTACAACAGAATAACCCAAATTAGCAATAAATTTAGTACAATGCATTCAAATATTAAAATTTCACCACCCAAAATAAACAAACAGTCCACATTTTCAAAATTCTAGGGTTCCCCAAATTTCTTACCTGTATTAGTAGGAGAACGATGCCAATGCCAGAACAAGAACCACCAAACAACGAACAATCATAAACGACCGGAGACTAGAAGAGAAGCAAGAAGAAAGCAAAGTTGAGTGACAAAGAGAGAGGGAGTATAGCGAGAGAGAAGTTATGTATTTTAAATTCTTTATGGGGAAGATGAAGAGGGAAGTTAATGAGAGCGGGAAGTTAATGAGCGAGAAATTAATGAGAGCGGGAAGTTAATGAGCAAGACTGACATGCATTGGATTCACAACTCACGCTTCCAGCAATATAGAAAGAATGTAAAATCGTAATCTTCATAACTCAAAAGGGAATTTTTTTTATTTTTTTTTTTTTTGTTTCTTTCTTTCTTTCTTTCTTTTTTAGCGTTGCAACTCCGTGGTCTCCATCTGAGAAAATTATATGCTGACTAAAGTATAATACATATAACGCTTGGATGTAATTTTATGTGAGAGAAATAAGGCAAATAAAATCATCATAAATGATTTCATGTTAAATTAAAAAGTGTTGTAAATATGTGAAAGGAAATGGTTAAGAAATACCAATTAAAGCGCGTGTTTTGAAAACAAAGTTGTAAACTACAACAAAGTTGTAAAAAGTTTAAGTAGTACTACCACTCTAATAATGTCAACTAGAATATTTGGAATATAATTAAGTTCTATTTTTTACCTTGATTGCATAGAATAATCATCTAAATTGACTAATTTACCCTTCATAAAGGTTAAAAGTGGTAGTGTTGCTTAAACTTTTTACAAATTTGTGGTAGTTCTTTTAAACATTTTTTTTAATAGGTAATTGTTTTCAAAACACGTGTTTTAATTGGTAGTTGTTGACAAAATTTCTATTTGAAAACGGTGCAAGAAAATAAGTGTTGCAAATAGAATAGTCGGAAGCGCCAAAAAAAGGAAAAAAAAAACCTCAGGCAAAATTAATGAAAGTATGTTAAGTATCACATTTTCGAGGTGAAGGCACAAATTCCATGCTCAATTCCATTTGACAAAAAAACATGATTCCTTTTCTACCTAAGCTCTTCAGGCATGCCAAACATTACTGATCATCACTAAGAGAGAAAAAGAGAAAGAGAAGTGAACAGTTTAAGGGGCATTTTTGAATGAAACGCCAACAACCAAACCATGACATAACATAATAACTAAGCTGCTTATTCTATACATAGAAATAGTAAGAAGTTAGAGAGAGTACAAAAATGGGGAGTTCATTTAAGAATAGCAACAATCAAAGAGGGAGCAGTAGTAGTAGTAATAGTAAGCCGTACGCGTTGATGCTATTGTTAGCGTTCGGGGTGGCTATTCTTGGAGTTATGGTGCTTCACAAGATCAGAGAGAAACGAATTTTTTCTCTTCTTGTTAAGGAGAAAGACCATGAGCTTCTTACCCTTCACCTTCTCTTCCAGGTTCGTTTTATTTCTTTCTTTATCCGTCGTCTCATTAGCTAGTTGTCATATTACTCGTTTACGCTGTTGTGTGGCTATCTAATTCATTTTGGAGAATCAATTAATCTTCAAGAAAGTGACATGCATGTACTTTTATGTTGTTTGAAAGATTTCTACAACAAAATTAATTAAAGGAAATTTATGCATAAAAATGTAAGTAATACTTATGTAATATGTCGCTAAATCAAATATTTGAATACATTTTTTTATTGATAATTGTGTAAGGTTTTTTTAATTGATGCATAGTATTAACTTAAATCAAACGTCCATTAATTAATCCATTATACTATTTCCGTTAATATTATTAAATACGATTTGATATATAAAGTATAAGTAGAAAATGTGTGTTTAAAAAAAAATGAGTAGAAAATGCCTAATCGCTGTAATTAATCTAAAACAGAGGTAGTAATGCTCCAACCCACTTTTTATAAAGCTTGAACATGATGTTAATTCATTATTAAATAAATACACTTTTTTAGACATCAAAACTCCCTTACATTTCAGCACTGTTAATACTAGTACAATTCATGTCACTGTATAATTGACTATTGTAATGCTGAGAGTAAATGGAAATCCTTTAAATTGATTTCTAATTATACATCTACATTCTGGGGAGCTTGCAGAGAGAGAAAGAGTTCAACCAAGAAGCTCGGAAGAAAATCGAAGAGATGAACAGCAAAGTTTACTCCCTGAGAGCACAGAAGTTGGAGCTCGAAAGGAGGCTGTCAGATAAGGAATCTACAATTTCATCTCTCATGGATGAAAGGAAGGTGATAGAGTTGACGCTTGAGGAGAAAAGGAACAAGATTCAAATTCTGAGAGAAGAAAAGGAATCGAGTAGCAAAGATCCCCCTCAAGTTACTGTTTTAAAGGACATGTTAAACATGAAAGATGCAGAAATTGAAGATCTGAAGTTCCAGCTTGAAAAACGAGAAGATTTGCATTCAGAAACAACTAGACTTGTAACAAATTCCATTGGTGTTGGGACAAGAGATGAGGGTGAGAATGAGGGGGATTTACAATTAAGTAACGATTCATTGACAGATTCAACAATGGGAAAAAGTAGAAGCCACAATGATAACGTTATTCAGACAGTGAATGATCACAGAACAAACATTGAACACAAGAAGTTGAATGATGTGAAAGATGGAGTTGAATTGAAGAGCGAGAATACTAAAACTGATGATAGCAAAACAGCAGATTATCATGCTGACCACAGCACCAAGGTCACGGAGGATAAAGCAAGAGGAACCAACACTAGCCATGAAGAGGAGAAGCAGAAATTGCAAGAGCATCAAGCAACGGGTGACTTGAAAGATACAAGCCTTCTCAGAGGCGGCCTGATGTTGGAAAAGCCAGATGGATCTGTAAATGGCTATGGCTCTAGAGCAAGAAGGAGACATTCCAAGGGCAAGAGGAGAGAGATTCTAAGAAACAGGAGATTAGATGATTACTTGTACTCTGCGAGCAAGACTGGAAGCACTCCAGTTCTTAACAGAAATGAAGAATTGCAGAAATCTAACCAACCCGGAAATAATGAGTCAGAGGTTAAAAAATTTCTTGTTGAAAAACATCAGCTGCCACAATCAGACAAACTGAATCATATACCAGACACCAGAAATAATGGTGAATCCAGGGACGAAGTAGCCAAGAAGAGTGACAAACGAGGAATAAAATTGAAAAAGACACAATCTAATACAACAGAGGAAACTGAACATGGGATATTAATGAGCACGGAGCAAAATATCAATGTCAAAACCAAATTGCTAATTGATGATGAGGGTAGCAAAGTAGATGATGTCCAAATTACTGCCAGTAAGCAAAATTCTGACGAGATCACAAAGCAATTAAATGACCAAGAAGAATACCGGGAACAGGAAAAGATTAGTAGCATCAAAGTGAAGAAGCAAGAGATTGATAATGAGCAAGGAAATGAAATTGTAATCGAAGAAAGTGATGCTGAAGATTCAAACGACGCTGAAACTAATGAACCAGAAATTGATAGAGATGACATCAGAAGATTTTCAGAATCAGAACCTGATGAGGAAGCAGAAGAGACAGAATTTTAGGGTGCCAACTCAAAATGATCACCAAGATGTGAAAAAACTTAGGAACTTCCCAAAAAGCAGCAAAGTAATGCCAAAGTCTATTACAGATATCCCAAGTGCAAACCTAATGGTGATCCTGTGATCAAAGTCTATTAATCAAATGTCCGTACACGAAAAATAAAAAAGCCTTTATCCTAATCGTTCTCCAAGACTACAAATATAGAGACTTCCTAACAGGGATTACCAAGTAGATGACTGAAGAAACGAAATGCCAACTTGAACATATTTCGGTCAATTTTTACTAAAATCTCTATTATCCAATCCCTATGTCTAAAGCCTCTATTTAATCATTTATAAGTAATCTAAGTCATAAGGAGAAGAGATAATTGAAAACAGAAAAACAAAATGCCCAACTTGATCTACATTTTCCTGATACTTTTTACTAAAATCTCTAATATCTGATCCCTAAGTCTGAAGCCTATATTCAAACATCGAAGTCCTAGGGAAAAAGTATGATTCAGAACCCATGTAATTACAAGGGTTGCTTTTCACACAATTTGAATTGCACCGAGTAGCTTAAATTCCTAAACACCAACCACAACTTGTACAATGAACATGTCCAAAGTGCAGCATTAGAGCTTTAGAAGGCTACTTCAGCCTCATACATCATTCCAGGAAAAATTGGCATTTGCAAACAAATTAAGTTGGTGACATCATCCGCTCAATTTCTTGAACTATAAGATACAACAAACTGGTCGTATGCTGTCCTATATCCATGAACAGAAGCAGCAGACCAAAATAAAGAAAATGAGAAAGTAAATTGGTATTTATAGTAAATTCAAAGGAGAACACTAATTTAGACAATTATATGTTTATCATCAACATTTCAAATTGTCAAAATCCATTTATCACATTTGTTTGCTCCAAAGCTATCTAACCGGCAACAATTGGAATATCAGAAAATATCCACCTGGCTGAACAGTTATGAGCACCGTCTTTATTGCTAAAGCATCTTTAGGTTCATGATTGTTCTACTGTGAAGCCGCCGCCGCCACCTTCAATAAGAGATAGTGAAACAGAATAAGAAGAAACAATCAGTAAATCATAAGGCAATCTTACCGATAAAGAGGTATATACATCAGGACCAGACTTGCACAAAGAACAAAAATATTCACTCCATCTTTGAACAAAAAGCCACACTTAATAAGGGGTCATTTGTACAGAATATGATTATTTGATTTTACAAGAAAATGGCATCATTAACACTATGTTTGGATTGAAGGAAATGGAGGGAAAGGAAGGGAAGGGAAGGGAAATGGAGGGATGAATTATCTTTCATTTGGATAGCAAATGCGGGAAGAAGAGAATTGGAGGGGGAGAGAAATGGAGAGATAAACATACAATTGAAGATATTGATCTCTCCAACAATGGAGAGATTTGGAAGGAAAACTCATCATATTTCCCTCACCCCACCCCCCCCCCCTCCTCCCTTTAGCTTCCCCCACCCCTTCCCCTCCCTCCCCTTGTTTTTCCTTCCCTTACTCTATCCAAACACACCATGAGAGTGTGTTGGGATAAGGTAATTTAGAGGCAAAGGAAGGAAAGAGAAAGGGAGGATTCTGTTTGGATATGTTTTGGAGAGAGGGAAACCCAGAATGGAAGGGAAGATCTATTATCCTTCCCTATAAATAAACAAAAACCTTCTAATTTTGACATGAGGATTACTACATAATAAACTGATAAACCACTGCTTCAAAAGCTAAACATTGTTTCACATATAAGTTTATCCTGTCTCAACATAACTCTTTGGTCAGATACTATCAAATGAACAAATTAAGATGACTCCCATTCAGATCCTAGTAAGCACTGGAAATATTTAGATCACAAAGGTAAAGAAATATACCTCCTCTGTCTTGCCTTTGCCCTTAGTAAAGAACTTGTAGCTTCCAAAGATAAGCAAACCCCATCCAGTGAGAGATACAATGACAAACTGCACAATACAACATAAACTCAAGTTAGTAGTTCCTCTAGACACAACAATCGAAGCTCCATGAGTGAGAGAAAGAGTGTGTGTGAAGAAAACCTGACAAACAACAGATACAATCAAAAGCAATAAAACAGAAGACAAACAAAAATTATATTCTGACCCATACAAAATCAAAGAAATAAAACAAAGCATGATCCTTTTGTCACTCTTCCTCTCTGGCAAGTGTCAAAAAATAATTGCCACAACTAAAAGGATCTAGCATAAAACAGGTCTTTACTATATATCCTTCCATGTAAACCATAGAAAGGGTTCCCCAGCCAAATCCTTGAAGTTAAATTAATTGGCCAAATACAGATGGTAAGACTTCTCCATGATGAGAAAAGAAAAAAAAAAAAGTAGGCCCAGCCCAGTTGAACTGAGCTACTTCGAAAACTTCATACAGAAAAACCAGTTGTTATATTGTTCACTATTCTGAATGTGATCAGCTGGCAAGGCATAAGTGGTATTCCCACAGAAGCATGCAACTACTTTTCAACAACTGTTAGTGAATATGGACGTGAAACCAATAGTGTATACAACCTGCACCTATCTCCAATACTGCTCAACCAGCCTTAATTAAAACTTTCTACAGCATATGAATCCGTAAATACATCTTAGTTATAACATATTAATATTCTTCGTAAAAACATATGCCAAACATTATACTTCGTTCCCTAAAAACTACACCATTTGCACTTTAACACTATTCACACACTCCAACCAACGTAGTGATTTAGACAACATAAAAAGATAGCTATGTGGGGTCTTGTTACCTCTGTCTTGAGCTCTTGATATAAACTTTCATAAGATCAATTTCTTATAACTTTCAAGCTTGTATAATTAATAATAAAATTGAAAATGTACATTGGGATGCATTAAATTCCCATGGTGCAATATTTGGGAAACGAAGGAAGTATAATAAATTTTTTGTAAGACGAATATATAATAAAAAACTAGCAGAGTAAGAACCAACTATGTAAGTCATACAACTTTCCTTGATTGGGGTTGATCATCCTAATAGAAGTGATACACATATGACATTTGACATACTTCTGGGAAACAACATAAAAGTTGATGACTGATGAGCAGACATTTGTGTTAAATACTTGCTCCAAGGGAAAGGGGATACTAATATGTTGCAGACAGGCTCTATAAAGTATCTCAAGCATAAACATGCTACTCAACTGATTGTCCTATACACACCTCTCCATTTCAAACACCCCTTCTGCACCCTACCCACCCATCTATTCTAGAAACTACCTAGTTCTGCCATGAAAACTTCATCAAAAAAGAACAAAGTATTGATGCCACTTAGGACCCTTTGAGTGTCCAAACGGATGATATTTTCATGCAAGACAAAATTGAGAAAACCTTAGTCAACAAGCCTGGAATAAGTCTCATAAACCCAAGGGCCACATTTATCCTAAGTGAGAATAAACTCAAGAAAATGTTTAGAGATATCAAGCTCACAATATAGAAGCAGACTAGAGGGCTATCAAAGGATAGGTGTGGCAATACAAAGAAAAATTTATAATCATAGGATTTCTTGTTAAGCTTCACTGATACCTTCTATGTTACTCCAAGTCATTTTTAAAAATTAGCTATCAACCTATCATTAACTAAATAACATGTAAACTGAAGAATCAGACCAGAACCGACAGCATAGCAAAATATAATAATGTTTATATTTCATCAACACTCAAATATCACAGTAGGCTTGGTAATAAACAAACACGATAAAGGTATATAATACACCACATTAGATACTCACATGCTCTTCCTTCCAGTTAGCAGGATTCCTTGGTTCTTGCCAGCAGTTTACCTTTGCTGGCCCATGGTGATCTGCAATGAATAATACAACACATCATGAAACATATAGCTAAACATTTAAAAGCTGAAAACATTTTAGTAGTGGCACTTGATATTTGAGTCTAACTCAGCGGAGTTCTTACTTATCTAGAACTAAAAAGCCAAAGACAAATCCACATTGATATTTGGCAAGGAAATCAGATTCTCATTGCATCTCAACCACAACAGATGCAATATAAATATATGCCAAGAAGTTTGCAGTTCAAAATGGAAATAAAACATTTCAAGAAAATGTACAGCGCTAAGCACACATTGTAGCAAAAGTCAACATTCCACACCACAATGAATTTTCTAATTTCCTTGACATGGAACATATGAAGATAGGCGATCATTTGTGGCAATAACCGTTCTACAACTTAAAATATGACACTTACATGACCGGAATATCAGCTAATAAACTAAAGGGTCGTTTAAATCAAAGAGTCATGATTACATGTAATGAATTTTACTTTGACCCTAGATCTTTTAAATTGTTAACAATGAGTCTGCTATTTCTGAATTTGAAAAATCAAAATACTGGCCCATAAAAAGGCAACTGCTAATAATACAAAAACCCTATTAAATGAGTTAATTTCATCAACAAGCTTGATATTACATTTTTACATGCAATGTGGAATCCAATTAAGTTCTTGAACACCGAGCTCGTACCCAAACATTGGGATTGATTCTTTGAGTAAATCTCCCCTTTGCTAGGACTCTCTCTAAACCCTAAAAATACCTAACGCAATTGAAAATCATACAAAATATAAACCACATTAAATATTCAATTAATCAGCTGACATTTTTATTCCAATTATCACTTTGATTTCAAATTCTCTAATCAAAATCCCATTTAACAATAAAAAACTAAAATAAATAAATAAATAAAAATTAAATCACGATCAACATTCATAATGAACTCAGGATTCTCAACAATTTCACAATATATAAAAAGGGATTGACTTTTTTATTCCAAAAATTACAGAATTCAAAATACAAATTCCGAACCAAATGATGAGTAGTTTAAAGAAAGATCGAGTACAAAGAAATTGAAAGGAAAATCACGATTCATAAATCGAAAAATTACCGGCGGCACCAGCGAGGCCACGGCGTTGAACAAGACGAGGAAGGGGTTGTTGGGACGAGGAGATCCGGGTGATGGATGCAGCTTGACGAGCAGCCGCCACAATACGAGATGCCATTGTTGTTGAAGAGAGAGAGAGACAGAAAGAGAGAGAAAGATGAGACGAGTGGGAGAAGGGAAGTGAGATTTACGGTGGTTCTGGTTCTAAGTTCTAACCTCAAAGTGGGAACTGGGAACTAG